CATTTAAGTAAAACAATTATTTCAGACGGTGTAAAAATGTTAGCATTTATTGTTACGCTTCGGCTTCCAGTAATATATCCATTATCAGACTAGACAAAAAAAAACGTTTGTAAATTTAGATAAATGTGCAATACTTGGAGAATAAGTTTCCTCATATATAAATAATTCATTTTTTTGGCACAGAAATATCGAATGTGCTTTGAATAATCTTCTTCCATACCGATAAACTGATGTTGAAGTATCATTAAAATCTTCGATACGAACTTCCTCACTGATGTAATGAGTGACTCGGACAATAATTAAAATAAAAATTTTAAATCTAAATTCATCGACTTTGCTGGTTTACACATTCTGCTTATCTGTCACTGGCATTTACATCAGTGTGATCTGCCTGTATAAGGAAAGACGGTTTGTTGCCTCACTGATCAGACATGCACTGATAATGCCACGACGTGGCACAGAAACGCACTGACGAAACAACTACTGCTATCTGCATTTTTGGTGCTCTCATCATTAGATCAACAACTTGGCTACAGTTTATTGATTCATACTTTGAGATAACAGCAAAGATGACGTTGTTTCAAACCTTTCGATTCAAACCAGGAAGAATACAAATGCCCATGTACTTATGAATCACTTGCTTGTCAGCAAATTCAACCAAGTGATCGGTAAGGAAACCTAAACGGTCAGTGTATTAATACTGTGCGTAGAAATATAACGAATTATCATCAAAACGTTCCTCAGCAACAAGTCAATAAGCGAAGAAAGGCAAGTTTATCAGTGAACTCACGTGCTTTGAATAATTACTATAAAATAGAGAACTTCAAACCACGCAATTCCATTTTTTCTGAAATGAGGAGACCACTGCCGTAGTTGCAACTCCAGTTGTGCGCATATGTTAAACGCTAATTTTCAAATAATTTATAAAATAAGTTTTGAAAAAACAGCATAAGAGACTCAGGCTCAGTTGCAAACCTGTGAACATTTTATCAATAAAGTCGAGGAATGACTAAAATGCAACGGTGTTAATAATTAAATAAAATTAAATCACATAATGAAATAAATTATAGAATGCAGCGGCAATGATCTAAGTTTAAATAGCCCAACTGTTCCACGTCAAACATGCTTATGACAGTCAACTAAATAAAATACGCTGTGAACCATGCACTGTACCTCTCTCTTCAAGAATTGGCAAAACTTTCGCGAGGATATGCAAATGGGAGTTACCATCTGGATGAGTAATGAGGATGTCCACGTCCCCGCAGCTACTTC